AAGGATTCCCAAAGCCCTTGCAGTTCCCTGTAAAGCAGCACTTGCTTGCAATGAGTTTAAACACCCTACAGGTGCTTAGACACTCTGGAGTCTTTAGATAAACGCTCCTGAAGTGTCCTTCTGAGAAATTGTTATTGCTGTTGTTATTATTTCTAGTTCTTAAATGGTAGCAAATAAGTTTCCTACTGTCCTCTCAGATCATTTTAACAGATGTGTGTGACTCTCCCAGAGGGTCAGCAGTCAGAGAACCCCAAATTAACTCATTCAAAGAATAGAAAGGAGGTGGAAGAACACTCGAACACTTTCAAAACTGAAAAAAAAAGCAGATTTAAAATTCACTGCCCTTACACGCTCATAAAACCCTGATAGCCAAGACCCACCTCCTGCCCTGCAGAGACAATACCTGATTAAAGAGGGAACACAGATACTGCCCTAGCATAGCAAACAAGGATGAATATGAGAGCAGCTTGGCCAGATCAGGAAAAATTTAATCTGTTTCTGATGGCAGCCAGGCTGAGGTCATTCCATCTACAGAAGCTTTTCCATAGGCTGTGGGGTGACCTCATTGCAGCCTTCCAGTACCTGAAGGGAGCCCACAAACAGGAGGGGAGTCAACTCTTTGAAAGGGCAGATAACAGCAGGACAAGGAGAAATGGTTTGAAGTTGAGGGAGGGAAGACTTAGGTTGGATGTGAGGGGGAAGTTCTTGACAGAGAGAGTGGTGAGGTGCTGGAACAGCTGCCCAGAGAGGCTGTGGATGCCCCGTCCCTAGAGATGTTCAAGGTCAGGTTGTTTGGGGTCGTGAGCAGCCTGGTCTGGTATTAAATGTGGAGGTTGGTGGCTGTGCACGCAGGAGAGGGGTTGGAACTTGATGATCCTTGAGGTCCCTTCCAATCTAAGCCATTCTATGATCCCATTATGATCCACATCTTGGATTGTATGGCATAGATGAAATGTATGAGAACAACCTTACCCCCAACTGCAGGTAGAAATGGTTTTTGAGAGATGTTATTCAGGAAGGGTTTAACAGCTTCAGAATCCCACTGACAAGCATGCTATCTACATCGCTGAAATCTGCTGCTTCTCCGTGGCTCTGGCTGGTTTCTCTTGTCTCTGTGATTGATAATCACTTAAGAATCCTACAGCTGTATGAATGCACGGAGGGGTATCAGCTGATACCAATAAAGTCAGCTCATCAGCAAGCCAATTTGAAGCCAGATCAAGGGATTTTGTAGAGCTGACCTGAAAGTGTGGTGCTTTTTGTTTGGAGATGGGCCAATCTGTGTCAAAATTTCACCTCTTTCCAAAAGCTCCCAAGCAGTGAGGTCTAGGGATGTTTGAGGCAGGAAGTAATCTCTTCATTCCTGGTTCTGTAGGCCAAGGTAGTGCTTGGGGGTTATGTAGAGCTGCTGCCTAGTTCATCTTCTTCAGTTTCTCATATTCCCTGATTCACATTTCTAGACAGTTTTCTTCTTATTCTAAACAAAGATGGGTGGATGGAAGGATAGGGGAAAGGTGGTTTGATAGATGGGAGGAAGGGGGATAGAAAGATGCATGCATGCATGTATGCATGTCCTGTGGTGATCCTGGCTATTTTCACATTTATTTGAATTGCATGGCTTGTTTAATATGTCTGTTTTCATTTCTCCATTCATAAAAAGAGACAATAGCAGTTCCATTGCCTTGTTTTTATGGCTACTTTTTGGATGATCTATGATCAAGGAGATGTGCAGAGCACAGAAGTGGCTTCCACAGTGATCTTACTCCAGGAAGATAGAAAAAAAATGGTGTTCCAGTTTCCAGTGTAACCAGTTTTGCTTTTATAAGTGCATTTCTGTTAATCAGCATATTTTGTGTGCTTTCCCTGCCCAGCAATTTCTCCATGGACTACCCAAACAATTCTTTCTTTCATTGGCATTGCTAAACCTCTCATCCGGAGCTCTGGGGAGAGGCTCTTTGGGATAGATCTAACACGAGCAACAATGGCATTATTTAGACCTGACTGATCAATACCTTGATTCCTTCGTAAGGAAAGGTAGCAGGTAATTTTAGGAGGGGTGTGCAGTGCGTGTGTTTGTGCATGGAAGGAGTGTTTTAATTAACTGCTCATCTCAGCATCCACCCAGAGATTAAGAGGAAGCCCAGATCTGATAAATAAGGCAGCAAGGAACAATGATCCCTCTCTCTTCATAGTATTTGTGGCATGTCTCTTCTGGGTGGTTTTTCCAGTGTTTGAGTCTCCCCCACATGCAGTAATCACAGAAAAGGCAGGAAATGCCTCTGTATTGGGTTGAATGGTAGTGGTTGCCTATGTTTGGACTTTCCCCTTTTCCCAAAAACCTTACTATTTTTTTTTTTCTTTTTTTCCTGCAAACTTAGGAAGAAATGTTGCTTTCATAGCACTGATTCCTTGGAAGCTTCCCATTTGTTCAGGCAGGAGAGGTGGGAGTTGGTTCATAGCCTGAGAGGGAACAGCAAGGATTATGATCCTTGATTAGACTCATAGAAAGGCTTGGGTTGGAAATGATCTTCAAGCTCCTACTCTGTCTCCAGCTGTGCAAACGGAGGAGGTATTGGCACAGAGATGCGGCCCTGAGGGACATGGTTAGTGGGGATGGGTTGATGGTTAAACTTGAAGATCTTAGTGGTCTTTTCAACTTCAGTGGTTCTCTGATTCTACAAAGATGTTGATGTTCCTTCCCTGATTTGACCTCAAGCATAGCAAGGGGACGAGATGCGGTGTCTTCACATCCATGCTCTCAGCACTGGTGAGATCCCTTCATTAATGAGTGGGCTTATAGGGCTCGGGTCACCTTCTTTGGTCCAGCAGCATCAGGTAGAACCACAGGATCATTAAGGTTGGAAAAAAAAAACATTGAAATCATGGATGCCCCATCCCTGGAGGCATTCAAGGCCAGGCTGGATGTGGCTCTGGGCAGCCTGGTCTGCTGGTTGGTGACCCTGCACATAGCAGGGGGTTGGAACTGGATGATCACTGTGGTCCTTTTCAACCCAGGCCAATCTATGATTCCATGATCATCCTTCTAGTCCAACCTCCAACATAGGACCTCATTCTTGAGGAAAGGGCAGACACATTAAAAGGAAAATACTCTTTTATTTGTCATCATAACACAAAGGATAACATATGTTCCAGTGACATTTATTTCATTGGTCAAATAGCTATGTCAAGAATAGCATGATAAAAAAGAATCTGCAAAATAATTAGGAATAATAATAAGCAGAAAAATGCAATTATTTCCCAAGTCTCCCAGTTAGACGTTTCAATTGCATCTCATTGCAATTCCATTTTGAAATCTGCTTAAGCATAATCATACTCTCTTTAAAGAAGTAAAAAAAAACAAAAACAACAAACAACACAACAACAGAACAGCTCAAGAGTAATGCTTTTTCCCTCCAAATGAGGCTTTATTAACACTTTATTTTTCCCCACTGAGTAACTCGGAAAAAGCTCGTTTTAGATGTGAAATACAGTTATTAAAGACATTCATTTATTTACAGCTTTCCCATTCTGACAGAGAACTAAAAGCTCACTAATTGAGCATCTCGAGACTGGAACACGGTAGATACTTTCAGAGGAGAGGAGGGTCAGGGAGCACCCCTTTCTTTTTGATCTGCCAGGGGAAATAAAATAGAGAAAATGTATTTTCTCAGTCTGCTTATGCTCTGTGCCTAAGTCCTACAGATGTGGCTTTATGAATTATTTCCCTTCTCTTTTTCTCACAAAAAAAAAAAAAAAAAAAATCAAGTAGTGCCGTTCCTCTGCTTTTCCAGGAGGGTTTGCTGGAGGATTAATGAGGTGATGCCACGAGGACGTCAAGTTAAGAACCCTGAACAGCTCCAGCAAAAAATAATAAATAATAATCCAAGAGCTTTTAAACATCTGTTTAGCCAAAATATCTGATCCAGCACTTGAGAAAATCTCGTGCTGCAAGTGTTCAAAAGCAAATTCCTGTGCTTTCAGGGAGGAAAAAGTGAGTGGTGCTTCTCTCCATCCTCAGAGGATCCTCTGTGTTGGGAAGAGGGAGAGGAAACGAAGGAAAGAATGAGGGAGGGAAGAAGGGAGCAGGAGAGGAGTGGAAAGGGAGAAGTGAAGGAAAAGAAAGGGAAGAAATGGGGAAAGGAAAGGGCAAAGGAAAGAGGAAGGGAAAGGAAAGAAAGGAAAGGACTTTTGAAGCTTTAGGGCTGGAGGAAGAACAGGGGTAGCTGTATTTTAAAGGGTACTGAGTCTTCTTACTCTGATGGTCAGTTAATGACTGAGCGAACCTGAAGACATCACTTTATGTTCTGTGTCTCAGCTACTCCATGCATGAAATGGAGGTAGAGGAAAATGATGCTCACTCGTCATCATAATGATTAAGAGGTGGCTCGAGGAGCCAGGCTCTGCTGCTTGGCTTCCTATAGGAGAGTCTTATGCTGGGACATGGGGATTACAGGTGGGAGAGGCTGAGGGCATGGGAGAAGCATAAGGGAAAGGTGGTGAGGGACATTTTGGTGGGGCTGTATGGGCTCAGAGCAGCACGGGGATTTGGGAGGGGGTTTATAGATTTATGGAGGTGGGAGAACATAATCTGAATTTACAGAGAGGGTTTGGGGAGGAGGTTTAGAGGATCTTATTCTAGGGGATTGCTTGAAGGAGGGTGTAGGGTTTGGCCGGAGAGTTCAGGGCTCCAGCGTCAAGCAGCCAAGACCAGAATGCAGGTCACAAATGGAAAAAGCTGGTGTTGGTGCTAAGATGGGGGCTCGGGGACGCCGGGATCCCCAAAAAGGGCAGCAAGGAGGGGAGAAAGCACACCTAGGGCTGAAGGAATTAAAAACCTTGGGATGCCGAGGGGTTTTTCTGAGACACAGATCCACCAGGCTGGGGGAAAAACCCCCTGGGATCACAGAGCAGGGGCCAAGGAGGCGGGAAGGAGCGGGGCCGGGCCGCCAAGCCCCTCCCCACGGGGCCGGGGCCGCGGTAGAGGCGGGGGCGGCGGCGGAGGGAGAGCGGGGAAGGCGGCGAAGGGCTGCCCCGGCTCTCTGGGTACGGAGTCGGGGCGATCCGAAGTTTATTGCTGAAAAGGGAGGGGAAAAAAAAAGGGAAAAATACTAATAATTACAGAAGAGAATAAAATAAATACGGGAAGAATTGTAGATAGATACGGAGAGAGAGAGAGAGAAAAAAAAAAAGAAAAAAAAAGGGAAGAGCATCTCCTTGCAGTTGCCTCGGAGGGATGCGGCGGAGCGCGGCCGGCGGGACCCCCCGCTGCCCGGGCAACACCCGGGGCCGGAGCGGGGCTGAACCGTGAGTCCTCACCCCAGGAAGGCCGGACCGGGGCGGCGGGGACTCCTCCCGCCCTGCTCAACCTCCGCGCATCCTCCGGCGTCGCCGTGCCGAGCCGTGCCGAGCCGTGCCGGGCCGCTCGGTCCGAGCCGTGCCGAGTCGGTGTGAACCGAGCAGTGCCGAGCGGTTAGGATGAGGGGCATCCTCTACTTCTGCACGCTGATCCTCCTGGGTGAGTAACAACTTTCTGCCGGGGTTTACTTGTCCGCCTCCGGGTATGGGTGATCTCTCTCCTCCCAGTACCCCGGGAGCATCAGCCCGCTTTCTGTTGTGCTCGCTCTGAAGCCAAGCGCTGGATCTTTGCTACTGTCACTCCGGATAGTTCTGTTTGCCGCGGGAATTGGCTAATTAGAGAAGAGAATGAACGCACTTCTCGCTGGGGAAGAGGAGCTTAGAGGGAGGTGTTGGGTGGGTGAGGATTTAGTACGGCGCCGGGTGGTGGAGGAGACGGAAAATGTCGGGGTTCGGTGCTGGAGGGTGATGGCAATGCGTGAGCCTCAGCCCCGCAACGTGTGGAGCTGTGCAGCGGGGCTTCCCGCTGGTCCTTCCCAAAACTGGGTGCCCTCAGGGCATTTTGCACGGGCAGCTGCTTCCCTTTACTCCTATGCGAGCTATAAAACGGCTGGGAGATGCTGTCCCCCGTGGGATGCTGCTGTATCTGCTGCGATGCAGTCCGCTGCATCCGTGCTTGGAGCATCCCACTTATAACCCATATCTCTCCCGTGTGCCATGCTCATGGGTCCCCGAGTCCCCTGAGCAGTTTCCATGTGTCCGGCAGCAGGCAGCCACAGCTGGGAACCGCACTGCTTTGGCTACAACCTCGACAGCTCCTCATAGGGTGTGTTTCCTCCTTGCTCCGTGCTTCGTTGAGATGGCAAACCCCAAAACGTGGGTTCGAATAAAGCAGGAAAGGCTGCAGAGAGGCAGGGGGTGGGATGTGCTGGTCCTCTTCCAGTGGCTGTTGGGAAGAAGGACTGGAAGTGGTTGGGATATCCTGGTCGACCTGTATGTACCTTGAGCATCCCCGTTCTCATCCCACGTCCTGGGTGAAAACCACAGTAGGTTTTTGGTTTTGTTTTTTTTTTTTTTTTTGCTCAATGAAGATGGCTTTGTCAGAGCTCCAGGTGACTCCTCGTGCTCGCTTTCCCTGTCACTAGATGTCACCAGCAGCAACTCATGCAAGTCCCACCAGGCAGTGGGAGGTTTCGACTCCCAAGAGCAGCTGTCTCCAGCCCTGGAGTGGTTCACTCCGTGGGTTTGGGGTGTCCAGATTAGTTCAGCTCCTGATTGCAGGGACTGGAGCTGAGATGAGGAAGGTCTCAGGCTGCCACAGAGGTGGAGATCTCTCCTGTGAGGCTCGTGGAGCATCTGGGTGGGAGGTCAGGTCTCTGCATGACCCCTTTTCTATGTGGTTCAGATTGAGTGGGTAACTGATGGAGTGCCTGATTGACTGGCTGGTGGGCTGATTGATTTTCTCTAGAGAAAGCCGAGTTAGAGAAAAGAGCTTCTGCAAATGGCCAGCTCTCCATTGTCAGCAATGCAATTGGGATTAGTGGGCAGGATTTAAGGATACACCCATCATCTCACATCCAGACCAGAGCAAAACCATCAGATAGTATTCATCTTCTGATCTCAGGGACTCCAGAAGGACCTTTCCACCTGTGGACTAGCATTGGACTCTTGCAGGCTCAGTGCCATCTCAGCAGATGCCATCCCAAGCCCTCCATCTGCTCTATAGATGTTTCCTGGATGTTTGTGTTATGGATGGACAATAACTGCTTGTTCAGATGTGGAGATATCTGTGATGGGGATGGGGACTGCTGAGGTTCTGGGCTGGTGGTGGAGCCTTTGCAGCTATAAGCACAGCACTATCCAGCTTTCAATATCCTGCAAACCGTGAGGGCTGCAGTGGGAATACCTCCCTTTTTGTGTGTCCCCCCCCTGTTTTGGGATGATGCAGGGTGGAGGAGGCAGGGCTGGAAGCAGTTAGGTTCTCTGGAGTGGGACCAGGCAGAATCTCCATCAAAGATAGAGATCTCCTGCTGTCACTTCGTACCCAGCTCCCCATTGGCACAAGCACGCAGGGGAAACCAGACAAAAGAAAAGAAATAATAATAGAGTTGAAGAGATTTTTACTTTCTCAGCTACTTTTCATCTAGATCAGCTCCCTGATCTGTCTCACCAGCAGCTACAAGGATATCAGTACCAGCAGCAAGGAGAATGTAAGATCACATCACTGGGGACAGGGCCATGGTTTGTGGGCATTCACTGCTGACTCAGTGTCCCCTAATACTTGCTTGTATCTGTGGCAATGGTTGGAAATCCCACACGCAGAATACTGGTCAGATATATTCAGGTAACTGTGGAAGGTTTTATGAAGGGTGAATCTAGTGGTTGGCAACCCTACCTTTGGTAGGGGGGTTGGAACTCAATGATCTGTAAGATCCTTTCCAACCCAAACCATTCTACTGTGTATAGATATATATTCTATGATAAAACCCACCCTCCTGAAAGCATTAAATACAAAGAATGTCATTAATTTTATGAAGATGTCAGACAGTACCTCTGACCAGCTCCCAAAACACTGCCCATTCCTTATGCAGTAGTGGATCACTGGGATGGAGGGTGGGATCCCAAATGGCATCTGGGACGTCTTCCTCTGACAACAGCTAAGTTTACCTGGGGAGTTTTATGGCTCAGGGTAGTTAGCATCATTCCTGGCATATGTTAACCACAGCCTCTTCACAGATGTGATCAAACAAAAAGGATTTTCACCCGTTTTGAGAGCACACATCCCATGGGGAGAGCAAAAATCTCAACAGAAATGCATCTGTGTGCACAAGAGAGGGAAACAGTCCCTAAATTAGTGCCTTTGTCAGCTCTGACAGGAGCAGTGCATTATTTGCATCAACAAGAATGTGATATTTATGCCTGTTTATTGGCACGGGGAAGAAACAAAACTTCTCTCTCCATGGTGCAAATTCCTCTGCAAGGAGATTGCCACACCCAGAACACATTTATTTGTTTTGCAGAGCTTTGGGCCCTAAAAAAATAATTACTTCAGGGTCAAAATTAGTACTAGTTAAGTCTAATAAGTAGTGTGAGTTACTGTGAGCAGTGCTTTATCTTGTTTTGGGAGAAAGCAATGCCTTCTCTGCTCTCCTGATAGTTTTCACAGAAGGTCCCTATTGTGCCTGAAATTCTCTTCATCATTTCTGCTTGAGTTTTGTCACTTTCATAACTTTGCATTTGGTCATTTTTAAGCATGACTTTAATTGTGGGTGAAGCCAGTCACGTTTCAATGAAAAAACGCAACCAAGACATCCGTGTTTTTTTTTCCATTCAGTGGGCTTCATTTTCCTTTTGTTGTTTTTTTTTTTTAAAGAAAATGGACCCCTTTTTTCTCAGCCCAAAGGTGGAAGAGAACAAATTCTAAGGGAGTTCTGCTAAAAAATAAAAATTAGAAGGGTACAGAATCATAAAATGATCAAGGTTGGAAAAGATCTCTAAGATCACCAAGTCCAACCCCAACCCATCACCACCATGACCACTAAATCATGTCCCTCGGTGCCACAAATATGCATTTCAAGGCACATTTCCTTGAAAGAAATAAAAAGAAAGCTTGTCCTTGTCAATCTTCAGTTCAGTCCTGTTCCAGTTTTTTTCCAAATACATCTGTCAAAATCCCCTCTGGTAATAACTTCTGACTTCAAGCCTGGCTGGGCTGATGCTGGGAGCTGTGTGTTGGTGAGTGAGGGAGCTGGGAAGCCATGCCCATCACTCTGTATGGACAGCATGCAACTCTTGTGGCTATCACAGCCTTAAAGGCTTAAATAGAGGTGTGCTGGGATTGGGCTCCTGTTGTAATCGTATTTGAAAGTCAAGGCTAGGAGGATAATATTGAAGAGGTGGATGGGAAGTGGAACCACAGGTGGGCATTGGGTCCTGGAGATGGACCAGGAGGAAACACATCTATGATGTCACTGTGGGTGATTGTGTCCCAGTGTGTTCACAAGCGTCCATGTGTGTCCAGGAGGAGTTGTGGTGGTCAAGGTGATGTTGGCCTTGGACTCAGTACTGCTGTATGGAGAGCAGGATGGCTCTGCAGAAGGTGGAAACACCATTTCTCCTGGGTAAGGAGATCCTGGGACTGCCACAGGGAATAGAAATGAGTGTGCAGAAAGAGTAAGCATCTTTTAAGGTCACACTGTATTCAAATCACCTGTGGCTCCTCCAGGATTTTGGTCTAATAACAAGTAATGCCACAGCTGGCATCCTTTGAGCTGTAAAGGTTTTGACAGATGTTCAGAAATGTTGGTGTCCTCATTAATATTTCCAAGCATCTTAGGTGAGCTATGCAGGTAGGAAGCTGTCATAGAATCATAGAGTGGCTTGGGTTGGCAGGGACCTCAAAGATCATCTAGTTCCAACCCCCCTTCCCTGGGCAGGGTTACCAACCACTAGATAGGCTGCTCTGGAAACCATAAAGCTTGGCCTTGAATGTATCCCACAGCTGAAGATCTGCTTCAGGGGCTCAGCAGTGCCACATATTTCCCTGCTGCTGGGATTGGCATCTATGCAAGACATAGGATGTAGTCAGAGCCCAGTCATCTCAAGCCTTTCCTTGTCCATCTGACTGGAGCTGTTGGGGTAACTGGGATTTAGATACCTGTAGATGCAGACCACAGAAACCTCTCTGGGCTGCTGCTCGACTGCCTGACTGTCCTCATGGGGAAAAAGTGTTTTCCTATATCCCATCGGACTAGATCTTTATTTCCCAGCTCAGGACTGCCTTGTCACTTATTTCTTTTCACCTCCTTTCATGCGAATCCCTGCTCTCGCTCCGCAGGCAGCTCCTTGCTGCACATGTTGCTCTTTCTGTCCGAAGCCATCTGGGAAGCTGTTTGCATGAAAGATGCAGTCAAAACAGTTGTGCTGTTGTTCTGATTTATTGAACCCAACTGGTAAAACCTGTCTCTGATACCTGCCCTCGCTGAGTGCTTTGACAGGGCAATTAGCAGTGCTCCCTATGCGACTGCTGACAGTTGCATGGGTCATTTTGACATGCAAGTACAGGCAGTTGGTTTTAAGTTCATGGGTTCCTGTTTATCGAGGAGAAAGGAATGATTTTCTGGTGCTTCTTCCAAAAGTAGGATCAAGTTGCTCATCTTT